AGGCAGGGTCACCTGACAAGTGAGGTTGGTGCCATGGTCCCAGGGCTGGGGGATGATGGTCAGCACTGAGGAACCAATGGCATTGGTGCTCAAGAGTGACACAGAGGTTCCAGTCCAGGAGAAGGTGGGGGGCTCACAGGCCCAAGGCGCAGAGCAGGTCAGGTTGCTGGGACGTCCAGCCTCCAGGGTCTCCGGGATAAGGATGTGGGGGGTGTTAGTGAGGGCTGGTGAGGAGAGGAGAGAAATGGAGGATCAGGAGGGGTGAGGTGCAGCTTCAGGGGAAGCCCTGGCTCTGATCCAGCTCCTCCCCTGAGCCCTGATGCTCAGACCTAGCTGCTCCCAGGATGGAGTCCTATCCCAGGCCTGCCCTGTGGCACCCATGGCTTTCCCTGGTGGCTTCTCTGCAAGCCATGTCTGACCTGTCACATGCAGAGTCATCGTGTTCATAATATAATTATACTTCACATCTCTTCTTTCCAGGCGAAAGAAGTATGAGCCTGTGTCCTCCTTCCTGGTCTTTCTGATGTCCAGGGAGCAGTCATTCTTCTGTGGCTCTCCCAGCAGGAAGAATCGGCCCTGGGTCTCCCTCAGTACTGGCCTTTGTGGGTTATTTGTGGCCACTGGGAAATCACTCCCTGTTTGGGCTCCACTACGGAACCAGTAGCCATGAATCGGGTCTGAGTCAGTCCATTTCTCCTTGGTGTAGGAGAACCTACAAGGTACAAGGATACACAGGCCCTCTTGCACCACCACCTCCCTTTCCACACTCAGGGTGTAACCCTCCATGGCTTCAGGCCTACCCTCTACCCCTTTCATTCCCCAGAGCAGCAGTAGCAACAGCAGCATGTCGAGCTGAAGCTGCAGGGCCACCAGAAGTCTGACTCTCTGGGCTCTTCTCTGAGGAACTAAGAGGTGCAAGGCCTGGAGGAAGTCCCACCGGAAGCAGGGGGAGGCCAGGACAGTGGCTGCCTTGGGAGGAGGAGCTTGGACCTTGAAGATCAGCCACCCAGATCTCCTCCTGAGGCCAAAGAAGGCAACTGCCTCCCCCAAATTCACCCGTGTGGGTTCTGATCCCATCTTCTCCCTCTCTGCACTGACCTTGGCCTTTGAATGACATGTCCTGCCCAGTGAAAATGGGTTTGCTTCATCCAGAGCCCCCAGAGCCTCCCCTGAGGCTGATGATATTGGTGGAGTTGGGGACCGATGTAGGGCATAGGGGAGAAGAGGGACTGGGAGATGCAGGCTGGGGGTAACCAGGCTCTCCTCCCTCCCTTCGCAGTTTGTCATGGGCACACCCTCTCTGAACACACCTGGGCTGTGTTCCCAAAGCACCATGTCCAGTGGGAGATGGATCTCAGGCCCCTGGAGCGTCTCACAGCCAGAGCCTCAGTGGAGGAGGCACAGATTGGGTGGACAGCTGCTCTGAAGGGGTGGATGTGAACATTCTTCCATTTAAATCCCTCCAAGGGATCTGGAGACATAGCTAGCTTGGTAGAGTGTTTGTTTCACATGCACAAAGCTCTGGCCTCCATCTCCAGCACCACCTAATTTGTGTATGGTAGAATGTGCTGCAATCTCAGCACTTAGGGGTAGGAGGCAAGAGGATCAGGACTCCAAGGTCAACCTCAGCTACAGAGTGAGTTTCAGCCCAGCCTTGGCTTCAGCAGACCCTGTCTCAAAACATACAAACCAAACCCTCAAACCAAACCAAAACAAACACAACAAAAGCAAAAATACACTGAGGCCACAGAGGGGAGTCTCACTCCCAGGAGACCTGGGGAAATGGAGGCTGAGGTACTACACAGTGGGACTTGCTAGAGATGTAACCTATCTAGCAGGAGAGGAGATATTTTAGAGAGAGGTGCTTGTGACCTCCATTGGGCTATCAGACTTTTGGGGACAAAGGGCCTCCAAAGAATTAAAATTTCCACAGGGCTCCCATGTTGGGGAAACAGAAAAGCTAAAGTCCAAATAACACCTACAGGATGAACTCACCACCCAGGTAGAATCCACACAGTTTTGACAACACATTGGAACACCTTGTGGGCCAAACAAGGATGTGTCACTGATGGGCACTACCACACCTTGACCAGGACTGCTTGATCATGCACACTTCTTGCCCTCTAATTAAACCTAAACTTCACATCAGGACCCTGAGGATGGACTTGAGGGTCACTGAACCTCTATTTGTTTCTCTTCCCGGTGTAACCAAGTCACATTAAATCTCCCTCTTTCTTATGTCTTTAGTTGGTATATGGAGGGTGAGTGTGGCCAAGCCTGCTCTGTTGGGGCTACTAGTGCTCAAGCATTGACCTTGAAAACTACAATAACACAGATTATAGGAAAAAGTAAAATGTCCTTCCTTGTTCCAGGATGGATTTCTTGTTGGCGTTGGAATTCAGGGTCCCTCACATTAGTAGGTGCTCTGCTGCTGAGCCATGTCCCCTGCCCTTCACTGGGGGGTTCTAGGCAGGGGCTCTACCCCTGAGCCACACCCCATCCTCTCACTGGGGGATTCTAGGCAGGGGCTCTACCACTGAGCCATACCTCCAGCCCCTCACTGGAGGATTCTAGGCAGGGGCTCTACCACTGAGCCACACCCCAGCCCCTCACTGGGGGATTCTAGGCAGGGGCTCTACCACTGAGCCACACTCTTAGTCCCTCACTGGGGGATTCTAGGCAGGGGCTCTACCACTGAGCCACACCCCCAGCCCCTCACTGGGGGATTCTAGGCAGGGGCTCTACCACTGATCCACACCCCCAGCCCCTCACTAGGGGATTCTAGGCAGGGGCTCTACCACTGAGCCACACCCCTAGCCCCTCACTGGGGGAGTCTAGGCAGGGGCTCTACCAACTGAGTCACACCCCCAGCCCCTCACTGGAGGATTCTAGGCAGGAGCTCTACCACTGAGCCACACCTCCGGCCCCTCACTGGGGGATTCTAGGCAGGGGCTCTACCACTGAGTCCCACCCCATCCTCGCACTGAGTATTCCAGACAGGCTCTCTACTGCTGAGTCATGGCCACAGCCCATCATTACATATTTCTTCTTTGATGTTGTCTCTTACTGTCCCCTTGCTCCAGAATACTACTTGTTTGCTCACAGACTATTCCAGTCAGGACTTGACCATAATTCTTAATTTTCTCAGGATCCCCATTAGATTGCCAGTGCCCTCTATCAGCAGGAAGTAGTATGAGAAGCTATGCCCAAATTCCCACAATACTGTCTATGAATGTTTGTTTTTATTTAAAGTAGGTTGATTATAAATGTGATCTCTTTATAAAGAAGAAAAGGGGACAGTAAAGATATGATGGGACGAAAGGGTGGGTTGTTGAACCTACTTTTAAAGAGCAGCTTGTTTAAAATGTTTTACTTGGGACAGATCTTAGTTTATTACAAATTTAATTTTGTTATACTATATATATATTTCTACTTTCATTTAACGTATTATGTTTATGTAATTCTTTCAGATTGTAATGGATAATTAAGAAATACAGATTAATAATTAGTCATCTATGATAATCAAACTTTTTTTTTTGTTTTTTCCAGACAGGGTTTCTCTGTGGATAATCAAACTTATAGTCATGTTAGTTAAGTTTTCTAGGTGTACATAGATATATTTCAGATAGATAATCTTCAAACACTTCAAAGACCTACAGAATATGGCATTTAAAATGTTTTAAAAACTTAGGCCGGGCGGTGGTGGCGCACGCCTTTAATCCCAGCACTCGGGAGGCAGAGCCAGGCGGATCTCTGTGAGTTCGAGGCCAGCCTGGACTACCAAGTGAGTCCCAGGAAAGGCACAAAGCTACACAGAGAAACCCTGTCTCGAAAAACCAAAAAAAAAAAAAAATGTTTTAAAAACTTAGACTTTCTGGACAGTGAGACATGTCTGCTCTTGGCAGCACTGATTTACTTCAAAGAGAAAGATGGGCATCGAAAACACTCCATGTGGAGTTTATCTCCTTCTTGGCAAAAATAGCCATTGGGCAAGAAACTGTTCTTTCCTGGACTGCTTGAAAAAATGCTGTGTTGACTGGACATGCAGGACTCATGGGAAGGTGACCACTGAACTTTGCAAGGCAAAATGGTCCTTCAGGTTCCTGCTTTGCAGAAGAAACTGCCAGACAATCTACAGGACACAGAGAAAAGTGACTGAGAAACTCTAGGCCTGTAGGCTAAAGAATGAATGCCCCAACATTGCAGAGAAACTTTGGATGGCTATCCAGGCAGGTAGCTGTCTCTGTCATTTCCAGATTTTTGGAAGTTGCTTACAATGCTCTTCCTGTTTACTTAGGTAGTATTATATCCTTCTGTGGTCTTTATGTAGTTGAAGGCAAGATAGTTGCAATTTTCCTTGGTTATGATAAAAAAATAAATTATGATATGTTAAAGTTAAAATCTTTTTTAATTAAACAGAAAAGGAGAAATACTGTGGGATAATGCTTTTGCACACTGGTTTAATAAAACGCTGATTGGCTAGTAGCCAGGCAGGAAGTATAAGATAGGCAGACAAGGAGAATTGTGGGAAGAGGAAGGCTGAGTGAAGAGATGCCAGTAAGCTGCCCAAGGAACAACCTGTAATGGGACACAGGTAAAGCCATGGAACATGTGGCAATACATAGATTAATAGCTATGGGCTAATTTATGATATGAGAGCTAGCTAGCAAAAGGCTGGAGCCATGGCCATACAGGTATAATTAGTATAAGCCTCTGTGTGTTTACTTGGGTCTAAGTGGCTACAGACTGGGTGGGACACAGAAAATTTCCAGCTACATATATATATGTGTGTGTGTGTGTGTGTGTGTGTGTGTGTGTGTGTGTGTGTGTGTGTATACATATATATATGTGTGTGTATACATATATATATGTGTGTGTATGTATACATATATACATATATACATATAATATATATAATATATATGTATATATACATATATACATATATTATATATATATATAATATATATATCTTGTACAAGAGTGCACACAGACCACTTTCTGCATTTTCAAGTGGCAACTAATCTTTACCCCCATCTTTGCCCAAAACTCTCTCTCTTAATTAGCAGAAATTGCAGCAACTCAGTGGTGAGAAGCTCTCACCACTGGGCTGGGCCATTGCCCATCTGGTTCCCTGTTGTCCCCAGTTTGTAAAGGAAGCAGGATGGGAAGAGAAAACTCTAAGAACCTGCATCCAAGAGAGGAACTTATGACTCACACAGCCCATGAGAAATGAGAAGACCTAGAGTGTCACTTCCCCATTTTCAGAAGACCATGAGTTCCAGAATGGAAGTGCTAAGGTGGCATCTGATCCCTCCCAAACACACGTGTTGAGATCCTTATCCCCAAGGCTATGGTGATAACAGGTAGGTTCTTGTGGATGGAGGGAGGTCAGTGTGTAGAGGGGTGCACTTGCCTGCACATGCGCATATACAATCCAGAGCTCTGCTTTGGGTATCTTCTTCTGTCACTCTCCACCTTACTTTCTGAGCAGGATCTATGATGGTTAGTTTCAATGGTCAATTTGGCAAGACCTAAGATCACGTAGGAGCTGGGTCTCTGGCCATGCTTGTGGGGCATTATCTTGATTAGAGCAATTGAGATGGGAAGGCCTACTCACTGTGGGTGGCTCCATTCCCTGGGTTGGGATCCTGGATCATATGAAAAGGAGAAAGTGGGCTGAGCACCACCATGCATTGCTCTCTGCTTCCTGACTGTGGTGCAACATGATCAGCTGCTTCAAGTTCCTGCTGCCCTGATTCTCTGCCATGGTGGGCTGTATCCCGAACTGTAAGCATAAATAAATGTTTGCCCTGTAAGTTGCTTTGTCGGGGTATTTTATTCAACAGGAAACAAAAAGAACACTAAGACAGGCTCTCCTGGCTGGCCAGTGAGCCCCTGGGATCTGCCGTCTCTGCCTCCACACTCCAGTACTGTCATTACAGATGCACACCACCTCTCCTGGTTCTTATGTGGGAGCTGGGGATCCGAACTCAGATCCCCACACTTGTGTAACAAGCAGTCTGCTGAGTCATCTTTCCAGTCCCATGGAGGTGAGTTGTTTAGTGTCTTAGTTAAGGTTACTATTGCTGTGATAAGACACCATGATCAAAGCAACTCGGGAAGGAAAGGGCTTATTTCACTCACAGTTCCATCATCAAAATTAGTAAGGGCAGGAACTCAGGCAGGAGCTGATGCAGAGCTCATAGAGGAGTGCTGCTTAATGGCTTCTTCCCTGATGCTTGCTCACCCTGATTTCACAGAGAATCCAGGATCACCAGCCCCAGACTGGTAACTCAGGTTGAACATCCTTAATCTAGAAGTTTAAAATCTAAAATGCTTCAAGGCCTAGAACATATTGAGCAGTTTAAGATTTTGAATTTCTAAACCAAATATGCTACCACATCTAGCTTATTTTCTTTAATTCCATGTTTATGAATGTTTTGCCTATGTGTATGGCCGTGCAACATATGTGTGCCTGGTGTCCTCTGATGTCAGAAGAAGACATCAGAACTCACTGTGTATGGTTGGATACCACTACTCTGTGGGTTCTGGGAACCAAACATGGGACCTCAGCAAGAGTAGCAAGTGTCTTGACCTCTGAAGTATCTTTCCAGCCCCTAAAGATTTATTATTTTTATTTACATGTATGTGTGTATATGTGTCATTGAATGTCACATGTGTTGGGGTTGCCCTTATGGGCCAGAGGAAGATACTTGACTCACCTATAGCTAGAAATAGGTAGATGTGAGCCACCCAATATGGGTGCTGGGAATGAACTCAAGTCCTAACAACAGCAAGCACTCTCAACTGTGGAACCATCTCTCCAGCTTTGACCCTATGATGTTTGGATATTGTCATCACCCAAATCCAAAACAAATGAAGTAGGCTGGATCTGATTGTGAAAAAAAATACGGGTTTTAAAATTGTGATCAAAGGGCCAAGTATGGTGATGCATGCCTTTAATTCCAACTTTTAGGAGGCAGAGTACACACACACACACACACACATACACACACTACACATTAGTCCACCAGAAGTACAAAGACTGAGTCCTCTGTTAAATGACAACATACACCATGAGGAATAACATGGGCCAAATCTATAATTTGTCACAACCTGAAAGCAAACAGGACTGGGGCAGCTCAGCTGATAACAGTGCTTGGCTAGCCTGCTCAAGGTCCTGGGTTCAATCCCCAGCACCACATAAACTAGGTATAGTAACTCACATATATAATCCTAGCACTGGAAGGTGGAGGCAAGCTAAACATGAGTTCAAGGACAACTTGGCACACATGAGACCCTGTGTATTAATCAGGGTTCTTAGAGTGACAGAACTTATAACCTGAATCAATAGAGTGGAAAGAGAGAGAGAGAGAGAGAGAGAGAGAGAGAGAGAGAGAGAGAGAGAGAAGAGAGGGGGGGATATTTAGGGGATTTATTGGAATGACTTACAGGCTGAGGTTCAGCTAATCCAACAATGGCTGCCTATGAATAGAAGGTCCTAGAATTCAATAGTTGTTCAGTCCATGAGGCTGGAAGTCTCAGCTGGTCTTCAGTATACCCTGGAATCCCAAAGAAGTAGGCTCTAATGCCAGTGAAGGAATAGACTTGCTGGTGAGGCAAGAGCAATCAGGCAGAGAGCCGAGCTTCCTTCTTCCATGTCCTCATAGAGGCTTCTAGCAGAAGGGAGTGACTCTGATTAGAGGTTGATTTTCCCAGCTCAAAAGATCTGGATTAAAGGCGAGTCTTCCAGCCTCAAGATCCAGATTATAGGTGTGTCTTCCTACCTCAAAGATCCAGATTAGAAGTGAGTTTTCCCACTTTAAATTAAGCAAAACTCCTTCACAAGTGTGCCATCCCATATTTTGGTTTTAGTTAATTCCATATATAGTCAAGTTGACAACCAAGAATAGCCATCACAAGTCCATCCCTTTCAACTTGACACACAATCATATCTCCTTATGTCATGATTAATTTGCAAATGAAAATAATAACCAGGTCACAATGATGCTTAAACATGGTATAACTATCCCACATATAATTGTAAACCCATTGGATATCTAATCAGGTTGTAATTATGACTAATAAGATATAACTATGCCTCATAAAACTGCATTATAATTATAAATTATAAATTTAGAATAGGTGACAATGACACTTGAGGGACATCCTTTTAATGTCTCTAATAAGATAACCATTGATATTCTCCTAATTGATGTTATATTACATGATAAAGAAACTGAGGAAAGAAAACACAAATATTTGTACAAATGCATTTTTAACAAAATATGAAACACTCATGTCAATTATAATCCTCATTTTGCAACTGGTCGTGTGACCTTAGCTGGTGTTTAGAATTACCTTCCTCTACTACCCATTCTGTATTTCCTCCACCCTCAGAAAGCACCTCATCATGCAGTAGGCTTTCTCTAGATCACCAACCAGCTCCCAAATAAAGACACAAAGACTTATTATTAGTTATGAATGTTCTGTCTTATCTTATGGTTGTCCCACTAGCTCTTATAAGTTATTTTAACCTGCTTCCCTTCATCTATATTTTGCCCCAGGGCTTTTTAACTTTTTTTCATTCTGCATGTCCTGCTTTCACTGCTTCCTCTATGTCTGGCTGGCTGGCTGGCTGGTGGCTGGTGGCTGGCTGGCTGGCCCTGGGCATCCCCCTAGTTCTCTCCTCTGGAGCCTAGATTCCTCTGACTACTTATTCTCTCTATCCATCAGTCACACCTATCCCTCTACTGCTCAGGTTTTTATTGACCAATCGGGTGCCTTAGGCCTGAAAAGTGAAATAGAAACAATGAAGAAGACACAAACAGATGGAATGCTGGAAATAGAAAATCTGAGTAAATCAACAGGAGATACAGATGCAAGCATAACCAACAGAATGCAAGAGATGGAAGAGAGAATCTCTGGCATTGAAGATACAATAGAGGAAATAGATTCATCAGTCAAAGAAAACACTAAAGCCAAAAAAGTCGTAACACAAAACGTCCAGGAAATTTGGGACACCATGAAAAGACCAAACCAAATAATAGGGATAGAAAAAGGAGAAGAATACCAACTCAAAGGCACAGAAAATATATTCAACAAAATCATAGAAGAAAACTTTCTCAACTTAAAGAAGGAAATGCCTATGAAGGCACAAGAAGCTTACAGAACACCAAATAGACAGGATCCAAAGAAAAAAAGACCCCTCTCCACATAATAATAAAACCACTAAACATACAGAATAAAGAAAAATATTAAGAGCTGCAAAGAAAAAAGCCCAAGTAACATATAAAGGCAGACCCATCAGAATAATACCTGACTTCTCAATGGAGGCTCTGAAAGCCAGAAGGTCCTGGACAGACGATATGCAGACACTAAGAAACCATGGATGCCAACCCAGACTATTATATCCAGCAAAACTCTCAATTGCCATAGATGGAGTAAAAAAAAAATATTCCACCATAAAATCGGATTTAAACAATAGCTGTCCACAAATCCAGCCCTACAGAAAGCACTAGAAGGAAATATCCAATCTAATGAAGTTAGATACACCCATGAAACCACAGGCAATAGATAACCCCACACCAACAAATACCAAAGAAGAGAAACACACAACACTACCAACAAAAATAATAGGAATTAACAGTCACTGGTCATTAATATCCATTAATATCAATGGTCTCAACTCACCTATAAAATGACATAGGCTAACAGAATGGAAACAAAAACAGGATCCATCCTTCTGCTGCATACAAGAAACATACCTCAACTTTAAAGACAGACACTACTTCAGAGTAAAAGGCTGGGAAAAGACTTTCCAATCAAATCAACTTAAGAAGCAAGCTGCTGTAACTATCCTAATATCTAACAAAATAGACTTCAAACTAAAATCAATCAGAAGTGACAGAGAAGGACATTTCACATTGACCAGAGGAAAAATCCACCAAGATGAAGTCTCAGTTCTGAACATTTATGCTCCAAATACAAGGGCATCCACATTTGTAAAAGAAAAATTATTAAAGATTATATCACATATCAAACCCCACACACTAGTAGTGGAAGACTTCAACATCCCACTCCCACCAATGGACAGGTCTCCCAGATTGAAACTTAACAGAGAAGTAAGGGATCTAACAGACGTTATGACTCAAATGGACTAAATAGATATCTACAGAACATTCTACCCTAACAAAAAAGAATATCTTCTTCTCAGCACCCCATGGAACCTTCTCTAAAATCAACCACATGCTTGGTCACAAAGTAAATCTCAACAGATACAAAAAAATTTGGAATAACCTCCTGTATTTTACCAGACCACCATGGCTTAAAGTTGGATTTCAACAACAACAAAAATTACAGAAATCCTACAATCACATGGAAAGTGAATAATGCTCAACTGAATCACCAATGGGTCAAGGAAGAAATAAAGAAAGAAATTAAAGATTTCCTAGAATCCAATGAAAATGAATGTACAACATACCCAAACTGATGGGACACTATGAAAGCAGTGCTAAGAGGAAAATTCATAGCACTAAATGCCCACATAAAGAAGATGGAGAAATCTCACACTAGTGACTTAACAGCACACCTGAAAGCTCTAGAACAAAAGGAAGCAAACTCACGTAGGAGGAAAAGATGCCAAGAAATAATCAAATTGAGGGTTGAAATCAATGAAATAGAAACAAAGGGAATAATACAAAGAATCAATGAAACAAAGACTTGGTTCTTTGAGAAAATAAGATAGACAAGCCCTTATCCAAACTAACCAAAAGGCAGAGAAAGAACATCCCAATTAACAAAATCAGAAATGAAAAGGGAGACATAACAACAGACAACAAGGAAATCCAGAGAATCATCAGGTCATACTTCAAAAACCTGCACTCCACAAAATGGGAAAATCTAAAATAAATGGACAATTTTCTGCATAAGTACCACATACCAAAATTAAATCAAGACCAGATAAACTATTTAAATAGACCTATAACCCTTAAAGAAATAGAAACAGTCATTAAATGTCTCCCAACCAAAAAAAGCCCAGGACCAGATGGTTTCAGTGTAGAATTTCAAAGCAGACCTAATACCAATACTATTCAAATTGTTCCACACAATAGAAAGAGAAGGAACATTGCCAAACTCTTTTTATGAGGCTACAGTTACCCTGATACCCAAATCACACAAAGATGCAACAAAGAAAGAGATTTACAAATCAATCTCCCTCATGAACATTGATGCAAAAATACTCAATAAAATATTGGCAAACTGAATCCAAGAACACATCAAAAAATTATCCACCATGACCAAGTAGGCTTCATCTCAGAGATTCAAGGAGGGTTCAACATAAGGAAATCTGTCAATACAATACACCATATAAACAAGCTGAAAGAAAAAAACCACATGATCATGTCATTAGATGCTGAAAAAGTCTTTGACAAAATCCAACACTCCTTCACGATAAAGGTCTTAGAGAGATCAGGAATATGGGGAACAGACCTAAACATAATAAAGCCAATTTACAGCAAACTGACAGCCAACATCAAATTAAATGGAGAAACTCAAAGCGATTCTACTAAAATCAAAAACAAGAAAAGGCTGTCCACTCTCCCCATATTTGTTCAATAGTACTTGAAGTTCTAGCTAGAGCAATAAGACAACAAAAGGAGATCAAGTGGATAGAAATTAGAAAGGAAGAAGTCAAACTTTCACTATTTTCTGATGATATGATAGTGTCCATAAGTGATCCCAAAAATTCTACCAAGGAACTCCTACAGCTGACAAACACCTTCAGTAATGTGGCAGGATACAAGATTAACTCAAAAAAATCAGTAGCCCTCCTATATACAAATGATAAATGGACTGAGAAAGAAATCAGAGAAACATCACCTGTAGCTAGAGTTTTCCTGCCTGGCCCACGGTCAGGACAAATCTTTGTCACCCGCCAGTCCCACAGCCGCTCAGACCCTGTTAGTCCCGCCTATACTTCCTGCCTGGCCACTGGCCAATCAGTGATTTATTTATTGACCAATCAGCAACACATTTGACATACAGACCATCCCACAGCACTTCCCCTTTCCTTTTCTTAAAAAGGAAGGTTTTAACCTTTACACATCTCCAAAGTCAGCTTGGTATATTTGGGAATTTGGGCGTAGCTTCTCTTACTACTTCCTGCTGGAGGGGGGCGCTGTATCTTATGGGGACACAAAAAATATTTTAGGATTATGGAGTAGTCCATGAGGGTGTATCGTCTGAGCCAGTTGCCTTCAAACCGTTCTGGATGTTGAATCATCTGGGCCATGGCGTCATCGGAGACCTTTCAGGGTGTCTTGGCTGGTCAAACCTGATGTATCTTAATCTGGAACAAATCCATAGCCTCTGGCTTTCTGTGGGAACAAAAGCAGAGTCTCCTTTCCAAAGCAACATATCCTTATATCCAAATTTTGAAGTCAAGGCACCTTTAAAATATACATTTTGGCATAACTCAACAGCTTTTATAATCAAATATTTTTCTTCAGTTACAAATATCAAAGAGAACATAATCCAGATTCTCTGTGTGGTAGCCATCTTTACGTGGCTTATTTTTTTATATTAGCTTGAGCCTATTGCTTTGAACTGCAGCCTTCTAAGCCTGAAACTGCGCTGGCACTGTGGCTGCTGGCTCCGCCCACTTCAGCTTCCC